AGTGTAATAGCTAAGAAATTATTAATTTTGATCATACCCTTGTTAAAATAATATCTTTACTCTTCTGGATTTTTCTAAATAGCTGAATCATAATTTTCCAAAGCCTCTTCAAATCTGTTCATTTTTTGTAGAGTATCAGCTAAGTAATTATCAACAATTAATTTTACCTTTGCCATTATAATAGTCTGAATTTTCTGGATTTTTCTAAATAGCTGAATCATAATTTTCCAAAGCCTCTTCAAATCTGTTCATTTTTTGTAGAGTATCAGCTAAGTAATTATCATCAATCAATTATACCTTTGCCATTATAATAGTATGAATTTTCTGGATTTTTCTATATAGCTAAATCATAGTTTTCTAAAGCCTCATCTAAACTATTCATTTTTTATAGAGTATCAGCTAAGTAATCATCAACAATTCATTATACCTTTGCCATTATAATAGTATGAATTTTCTGGATCTTTCTAAATCGCTTAATCATAATTTTTTAAAGCTTCTTCATATCTGTTCATTTTATTTAGCGTAATAGCTAAGAATAATTTAGTTTGAATTTTACCTTTGTTAAAATAATACCTTGAATCTTCTGGGTTTTTCTAAATAGCTGAATCATAATTTTCTAAAGCTTTTTCTAATCTATTCATTGTATTTAGCGTAATAGCTAAGAAGTAATTTAGTTTGAATTTTACCTTTGTTAAAATAATACCTTGAATCTTCTGGGTTTTTCTAAATAGCTGAATCATAATTTTCCAAAGCTTCTTCAAATCTGTTCATATTATTTAGTGTCGTAGCTAAAAAATATCAGTTTGAATCATACCTTTGTTATAATAATATCTTGAATCTTCTGGATTTTACTAAATAGCCTTATCATAATTTTCCAAAGCTTCTTCTAACCTGCTCATTTTCTGTAGTGTAATAGCTAAGAAATCATACTGGTTGGATCATACCTTTGTTGAAATAATACATAGAATTCTAAGAATTTTTCTATATAACTAAATCATAATTTTCTAATGCTTCCTCAAATCTATTCATTTTTTTTAAAGTATCAGCTAAGAAATCATCCAATGAGTTAATTATACCTTTTTTAAAGTAATAGTCAGTAAACTTAGGGTTTCTCTAGATAGCTGATTCATAATTTTCCAAATCTTCTTCGAATTTGTTTGCTTTATCTAGTGTAATAGCTATGAAATTGTTCATTCTAACCATACCTTTGTAAAAACAATACCTTGAATCTTATAAATTGTTCAAAATAACTGAATCCTAATTATCCAATGTTTCTTCAAATCTGGTAAGTTTTTCTAGAGTATATCCTAGAAATTATCCAGATAAAATAATACCTAGTTTTAATATATCATTTACCTTCTGAATTTTTCAAAATAACTGATACGAGATTTGTCAAAGCTTCTTCGAATCTATTCATTTTAACTAGAGTAGATGCTATTCAATAATATACATTTTATTATACCTTTGTTTAAATAATACCTTGAATCTGCTGGATTTTTTTAAATAGCTGAATCATAATTTTCCAAGGCTTCTTCAAATCTGTTCATTGTATTTAGTGTAATTGCTAAGAATCAGTATTGAATCATACCTTTGTTGAAATAATACCTTGAATCTTCCGGAAATTTTTGAATTGCTGAATCAAAATTCTACAAAGCTTCTCTTACTCTGTTCATTTTTCTTAGAGTAAAAGCTAAGAAATCATTCATATTAATATACCTTTGCCATTATAATATTCAGAATCCTCAGGATTTTTCTTAATTGCTTCATCAAAGTATTCTAGTGATTCTACTAATCTGTTCATTTTATGTAGTGTAATAGCTAAGAAATATTCAATATTATACCTTTGTTAAAATAATAACTCGATTCTTCTGGATTTTACTAAATAGAAGAATTATAATTTTCTAAAGCTTCATCTAATCTATTTAGTGCATATAGCGTATAAGCTAAGAAATTAACCGAAGTGAATTCTACCTTTGCGGTTATAATAGTCCGAATTTTCTGGATTTTTTTAAATAGCTGAATCATAATTTTCCAAAGCTGTTTCTAACCTGTTCAATTTTTATAAAGTATAAGCTAAGAAATCATCAAAAGCTATTTTTACCTTTGCCATTATAATAGTCTGAATTTTCTGGATTTTTCTTTATAGCTGAATCATAGTTTTCTAAGGCTTCTTCTAACCTGTTCATTTTATTTAGTGTATTAGCTATGAAATCATTTAATTTGAATTATACCCTTATTAAAATAATACCTTGAATCATCTGAATTTCTCTAGATAGCTGAATCATAATTTTCTAAAGCTTCTTCTAATCTGTCCATTATATTTAGGGTAATTGCTTAGAAACATCTAATTTGAATTTTACCTTTGCCATTAAAATACTCAGAAATTTCAGGATTTTTCTAAATAGCTAAATCATAATTTTCTAAAGCTTCTTCAAATCTGTTGATTTAAGTTAGTGCAATGGCTTAAAATTATTCATTTTGAATGATACCTTTGTTAAACTAATATCTTGAGTCTTCTGGATTTTTCTAAATAGCTTAATCATAATTTTGCAAAGCTTCTTCAAATCTATTCATTTCATCTAACGTAATAGCTAGGGAATCATAAATAGATAATTATACCTTTTCCATAATAAAAGTCATATTTTTCTGGATTTTTCTAAATTGCTGAATCATAATTTTCCAATGCTTCTTCAAATCTATTCATTTTACTTAATGTAGTAGCTAGGAAATCATAAATAGATAATTATACCTTTTCCATAATAAAAGTATTAATTTTCTGGATTTTTCTAAATTGCCGAATCATAATTTTCCAAAGCTTCTTCAAATCTATTCATTTCATCTAACGTAATAGCTAGGGAATCATAAATAGATAATTATACCTTTTCCATAATAAATGTCAGAATTTTCTGGATTTTTCTAAATTGCTGAATCATAATATTCCAATGCTTCTTCAAATTTATTCATTTTACTTAATGTATTAGCTCGGAAATCTTAAATATTTAAATATACCTTTGCATTTATATAAGTCAGATTTTTCTGGATTTTTCGAAATTGCCTAATCATAATTTTTCAATGCTTCTTCAAATCTATTCATTTTACTTAATGTAGTAGCTAGGAAATCATAAATTGTTAAATGTACCTTTGCATTTATATATGTCAGATTTTTCTGGATTTTTTGAAATTGCCTAATCATAATATTCCAATGCTTCTTCAAATCTATTCATTTTACTTAACGTAATTGCTAGGAAATCATAAATAGATAATTATACCTTTTCCATAATAAAAGTCAGAATTTTCTAGATTTTTATAAATTGCAAAATCATAATTTTCCAATGCTTCTTCAAATCTATTCATTTCATCTAACGTAATAGCTAGGAAATCATAAATAGATAATTATACCTTTTCCATAATAAAAGTCAGAATTTTCTGGATTTTTCTAAATTGCTGAATCATAATTTTCCAATGCTTCTTCAAATCTATTCATTTTACTTAACGTAATTGCTAGGAAATCATAAATAGATAATTATACCTTTTCCATAATAAAAGTCAGAATTTTCTGGATTTTTCTAAATTGCTGAATCATAATTTTCCAAAGCTTCTTCAAATCTATTCATTTCATCTAACGTAATAGCTAGGGAATCATAAATAGATAATTATACCTTTTCCATAATAATAGTCAGAATTTTCTGGATTTTTCTAAATTGCTGAATCATAATTTTCCAATGCTTCTTCAAATCTATTCATTTTACTTAATGTAATGGCTAGGAAATCAGAAATAGTTAATTATACCTTTTCCATAATAAAAGTCAGAATTATCTGGATTGTTCTAAATTGCTGAATCATAATTTTCCAAAGCTTCTTCAAATCTATTCATTTCATCTAACGTAATAGCTAGGGAATCATAAATAGATAATTATACCTTTTCCATAATAAAATTCAGAATTTTCTGGATTTTTCTAAATTGCTGAATCATAATATTCCAATGCTTCTTCAAATCTATTCATTTTACTTAACGTAATTGCTAGGAAATCATAAATAGATAATTATACCTTTTCCATAATAAAAGTCAGATTTTTCTGGATTTTTCTAAATTGCTGAATCATAATTTTCCAATGCTTCTTCAAATCTATTCATTTTACTTAATGTAATTGCTAGTAAATCATAAATAGATAATTATACCTTTTCCATAATAAAAGTCAGAGTTTTCTAGATTTTTCTAAATTGCCGAATCATAATTTTTCAAAGCTTCTTCAAATCTATTCATTTTACTTAATGTAATTGCTAGGAAATCATAAATAGATAATTATACCTTTTCCATAATAATAGTCAGAATTTTCTGGATTTTTCTAAATTGCCGAATCATAGTTTTCCAATGCTTCTTCAAATCTATTCATTTTACTTAATGTAATGGCTATGAAATCAGAAATAGTTAAATATACCTTTGCATTTGTATATGTCAGAATTTTCTGGATTTAACTAAATTGCTGAATCATAATTTTCCAAAGCTTCTTCAAATCTATTCATTTCATCTAACGTAATAGCTAGGAAATCATAAATAGATAATTCTACCTTTTCCATAATAAAAGTCATATTTTTCTAGATTTTTCTAAATTGCCGAATCATAATTTTCCAAAGCTTCTTCAAATCTATTCATTTTACTTAATGTAATTGCTAGTAAATCATAAATAGATAATTATACCTTTTCCATAATAAAAGTCAGATTTTTCTGGATTTTTCTAAATTGCCGAATCATAATTTTCCAATGCTTCTTCAAATCTATTCATTTAATCTAACGTAATAGCTAGGAAATCAGAAATAGTTAATTATACCTTTTCCATAATAAAAGTCAGAATTTTCTGGATTTTTATAAATTGCCGAATCATAATTTTTCAAAGCTTCTTCAAATCTATTCATTTTACTTAATATAATTGCTAGTAAATTATAACCTTTTCCATAATAAAAGTCAGAATTTTCTGGATTTTTCTAAATTGCAGAATCATAATTTTTCAATGCTTCTTCATATCTATTCATCTATGCTA